TATATACGTGTTATATATATGTGTTAAATATATATATATGTTATATATATGTGTGTCATATATATATACGTGTTATATATATGTGTGTGTTATATATATGTGTTATATATATATATGCGGTCGAAGATGTCGTTATGAGGTCTTGTACTTTTATAAAACATAATGTTGTACTTCTCTGTGCTTTATGACGTCACAGGTGGTGACGACGTATACTGTAACGTTACATTCCGTCCTTAAATTTGTTTCATTAAAGTGTGTTTCTATCAAAACACGTGTCTTTCTTCTTTTTTTCAAAATAGTCCTCTTGTTTACTACGATAAAAACAAATTCTAGAAATAATTTCGTTCAAATACATGTTTTCTATTAATAATGGCACTACCTATACTGTTGATCACGTACTTTTATACCCTTTCAAACAATTCCAATCATGGAATCCATAGTATATCAAATATACATCTATATACAATGTATATAATTTCATTCAGTACTTATATTTCTATTGAACCTAGATTCAAATAATCCGACTAAGATTATGAGGATTGTTTAAGAATCAATCAACGTATGACGAAACTGAGATATTGTTGGAAAAATAAACGAAGGCGGCTTGCAGCCTTTTCCCCCAAACATTTTCGAATACTGAGTTATACATATTCCTGGGTGATCGGGTGGTGCAGTGGATAGCGCACTTGCCTTTCACCAAGGCGGCCGGGGTTCGATTCCCCGATCGGACGTGAAAAGGTTGGGGTCTCCTGCCTGAACATGTGGGTTTTCTCCGGGTACTCCGGTTTCCTCCCACACTAAACCCCCCCACGCGCGTTAACATCCAAGCCAACAAGAGTGATTGATATACGTTGAAATAACTTGTTTCATAATTTTTGTTAAATAAATAATGTTTACATTTTTGTATGTTGATTTTATCTATTCTATCAAGTAAAATGCAATAAAAGTTGTTCTCCTGTCTACTCCACATACGCCTATGATAAGCAAGGTGACCCATATAATCTGATTATATAAGCTATTCTTCTACTCGCACGAGCACTTGTTACGTGATGTCTATATGGTTTTGTTTCACAACAGGCAGTGCGTTTTATCATGCCTGACCCTAAACTAAACTTGATCTATTTTACAGCAATTATGAAACTATTTATTCATCGCTTTTGTTGGCCCGGATGTTACCGCGCGAGGGGTCTTAATGTGGGAGGAAACCGGAGGACCCGGTGAAAACCCACGTGATCGGGCAGGTGCCCCATACGTTTTAACGTCTGATTGCAGAATCGAACCCCGGCTGTCTTGGTGAAAGGCGAGTGTGTTATCCGCTGCGCCTCCCGACCACCCTGGCCCCGGTGGACAGTTGTCTTATTTAACCTGGATATATAAGGAAACGTTTTTTTTATTTTCAGACAATAAACAAAAACCAATAACGCCATGCAAGATGTTCAAATCGACATCGCTCGTCAACACATGACGTCAGCACAGTTGACAGAACACTGAATTAGATTACCTAAGTCCGTAGACGGATTTGCAAACAATATTTCAAGACACATTCGCGGTAAGTTCATTGAAACAACCTGACGCGAACTTTGCACGTTTTAAGTAGATCTAGGGGTTAAATAGACTGTTTTGTTCGCCAACAATCAAATATTCAAAAATATACAAAATTAAATCCAGGTACTCTTATTACATGTACACCAAAGATAACCGGTATATTTGCGGGTTAGGTTTATGGAAGAGCGTTGATATGATGAAAAATATCACACGGACCCGCATGGTCTATCGTCAAGTAATCAATGGCTATATCACAATAAGTGTTGTTACATCGCAAACAAGGTAGAACTGTCAAAATAATTTCAAGTAACTGCGGGAAGTAGACCATTAAAACATTATTTTCTTTTAATGATCAAGTCAATACGAAACAGCTGTTTCTCTTACCAGAACGACGTCACATATTTACTGATGACGTCATATGCGTCAGCAGCTTGTACAAGTCCGATATTAAAGAAAATAATGAAAAGATCGAAGAAAAAAATAGACAAAAAGGATGAAAAGATTGCATTGTTTATGATTGATAAACCTCAATATGTCTTGATGCAAATTCAACGAACTGGTAAAATGAACTACATTGTACTTCGTAATTCATAAATTTGTCTCGGGACCTTTGAGGATTATACGTCAAAAACCTCGACAGGATAGGATTCAATTTAAAAAATAAACGTGTTTATATTTACTCTTGTGTGATTGAAGTTTGGGAATATTACACTTTACTTACCTGTAGTATGATGCATCAGACTGTCACCTTATTTTACAGTCTACAACGTTGTCTGATGTCATGGGGAAAGGTGTTCAGGCATGTACGAAATCAATAACTCAATACAGTCTCAGAATAGCGGTCCAAAGTAATGACCATTATCTGTGTTTCATACATTGGCTTCCAGTTACTTTCCTTCCTCTCCATCCACACCCACCTGGAGGTCCGTTCGGCTTCCTTGGTATGCCAATAAACTACATAGCTCTATCAGTCCTGGAACGCTGGACACCCTCCAATCTGTGTAAGGAAGCCACCACACCACACCTCTACAAGGAAATCCCACATTTGCAATTTCTTGCCTCTGCTTTATTTCATAAAATCCTAATATTTGCCCTCAAAAACATCTTTCTTCCCTGCAAAGATATTGGCACGAATATAGGTCCACATTCATGGCCCAATCATCTATAATTTCTTAAAAGCCAGTCCCCTATAAGTTCCCAATATTGTAACGGTAGTTGATCCCTAGGCCATGTCTAGCCCGATGGTCTTCTAAGTTCTACGATCGTAAAGTGTATTTTCCAGAATAGTGATATATAGTTCGTTAACACAAACGGAAACATTGGTTTTTATCTTCTTTCACAAAGTTCATGTTGGTAGGTTTGGAGGTTAGTACCTTAGTTTTACTTCTCATCCTCTCCGTTATGTCCGCCTACTCCCATCAGGTCGTCCGTTCCGTCCATTCCGTATATACTGTCTACCTGATCGTCCCTCCATTCCGTATATCCTGTCTACCTGATCGTCCCTCCATTCCGTATATACTGCCTACCTGATCGTCCCTCCATTCCGTATATACTGTCCACCTGGTCGTCCCTCCATTCCGTATATACTGTCTACCTGAGCGTCCCTCCTTTCCGTATATACTGTCTCCCTGATCGTCCCTCCATTCGTATATACTGTCTACCTGGTCGTCCCTCCATTCGTATATACTGTCTACCTGATCGTCCCTCCATTCCATATATACTGTCTACCTGATCGTCCCTCCATTCCGCATATACTGTCTACCTGATCGTCCCTCCATTCGTATATACTGTCTACCTGGTCGTCCCTCCATTCCGTATATACTATCTACCTGGTCGTCCCTCCATTCGTATATACTGTCTACCTGGTCGTCCCTCCATTCCGTATATCCTGTCTACCTGATCGTCCCTCCTTTCGTATATACTGTCTACCTGATCGTCCCTCCATCCCGTATATACAGTCTACCTGGTCGTCCCTCCATTTCGTATATACTGTCTACCTGATCGTCCCTCCATTCCGCATATACTGTCTACCTGATCGTCCCTCCATTCGTATATACTGTCTACCTGGTCGTCCCTCCATTCCGTATATCCTGTCTACCTGATCGTCCCTCCATTCCATATATACTGTCTACCTGATCGTCACTCCATTCCGTATATACTGTCTACCTGATCGTCCCTCAATTCCGTATATACTGTCTACCTGATCGTCCCTCAATTCCGTATATACTGTCTACCTGATCGTCCCTCAATTCCGTATATACTGTCTACCTGATCGTCCCTCCTTTCCGCATATACTGTCTACCTGATCGTCCCTCCATTCGTATATACTGTCTACCTGGTCGTCCCTCCATTCCGTGTATACTATCTACCTGGTCGCCCCTCCATTCCGTATATACTGTCTACCTGGTCGTCCATTCCGTATATACTGTCTACCTGGTCGCCCCCCATTCCGTATATACTGTCTACCTGGTCGTCCCTCAATTCCGTATATACTGTTTACTATCTGTTACCGGACACCATTAATGGTCACTTAGTTTTACTTCTCATCCTCTCCGTTATGTCCGCCTACTCCCATCAGGTCGTCCGTTCCGTCCATTCCGTATCTACTGTCTACCTGATCGTCCCTCCATTCCGTATATACTATCTACCTGGTCGTCCCTCCATTCGTATATACTGTCTACCTGGTCGTCCCTCCATTCCGTGTATACTGTTTACCTGGTCGTCCCTCCATTCCGTATATACTGTCTACCTGGTCGTCCCTCAATTCCGTATATACTGTTTACTATCTGTTACCGGACACCATTAATGGTCACTTAGTTTTACTTCTCATCCTCTCCGTTATGTCCGCCTTCTCCCATCAGGTCGTCCGTTCCGTCCATTCCGTATATACTGTCTACCTGATCGTCCCTCCTTTCCGTATATACTGTCTACCTGGTCGTCCATTCCGTATATACTGTCTTCCTGGTCGCCCTCCATTCCGTATATACTGTCTACCTGGTCGTCCATTCCGTATATACTGTCTACCTGGTCGCCCCCCATTCCGTATATACTGTCTACCTGGTCGTCCCTCCATTCCGTATATCCTGTCTACCTGATCGTCCCTCCATTCCGTATATCCTGTCTACCTGATCGTCCCTCCTTTCCGTATATACTGTCTACCTGGTCGTCCATTCCGTATATACTGTCTATCTGGTCGCCCTCCATTCCGTATATACTGTCTACCTGGTCGTCCCTCCATTCCGTATATACTGTTTACTATCTGTTACCGGACACCATTAATGGTCATGGCAGGCTAAGGAATACTGGTGCTCGATTATTAAACGCGTATATACATATTGTGGTATACAACGATTGGTGATTGACCAATGTTTCATCAGCAGCAGGCCCATACACGATACATCCTGAAAATCCGGAGACTTACAGTATAAACACATAAATAAGAAGACAACAGGAGCCTGGTAGGTTATCTGTTTAATCAGTCGCACACAAGGATACAGGGATTAACACACCATGTATACGCCTGGTATTGATATACTTTAGTGAACATTAGATTAATAAGTCACAAACAGCAGTTACATGTACAAGTGCTATCGACTCAGATAACTTTTTGAAGCTAGGGCAAAGATCTTCTGTCTAAATGGAATATTCGAGTGATTTAAAACGACTTCATCCATAGCTTAATTTGTTCATTTTGACTTCTTATATTATGTTACATCTAATATCCTTTTTCAAAAAAGATATATAAATGAAAATAGGAAAAACATTTTTAATAAACACATTTGCCTAGATGCAAAGGGAAATAACTCTTACATTTTACTTTCGCTTTGCACATTTTATCTTCGATTCTTATCTAACATTTTCAAATGATTTGTAGAGATTTTTTTGTCTGAAACTAGATCGTTTTTCTTTGTAGTTTACTTCTGCAATTTATTTCGTTTGATAACAAATATAATTAAATCATGCAGAAATGAACAAAGCAAGCTATAACTAGGAGATTGGTCAGTATGTTGCCAACAAATCTCACACAGCTTTATCTGATGGATACCGTTCTGACATTATTTGTAGGAACATCCTACACATATAACAGGTTGTCGACATGAAGAACCTGTTATCACAACGGACGTGTGTCATACATGCTACCTTAGCTTGACTATGGCTGGACTCTTGTTTTTTGGGAAAATAAAATAACTATATATTGTACCCTCCATATAATATATATGTATCTTATTTAAACGTACTGACTATGTCGTCTAGATTGGATTACCTGCCTTAGAACCATTTCTCCCCGCTAGGTTGTACTCTTTGTAAATTTTCAGAGCAACACCTACAATGTACCATAAAGTAGAAAAACTACGGTATCTGACGTCACTGAAAGAAAAAATCTAAAATTTGCGCTGGAGAATTCTTTGAACATGACCTCAGATAAGGAAAGAATCGAGGTCGTAGAGCATGCTTTTTTACAAACGTAATAAAATTTATACTACATAGTATATTTCTTATACATGTACAGCTGTAGTAACTATTCATGGGACAGTGATAACATGTAATTAAATGTGATAAAAATTTAAATCGATATTTAGTTTGAAATAAATATACCTTTACCTAAAAATTAAAATCATAGAACGAGTCACTCAACTTTTAACAGTGTTTTACGTTGGATACACAGGAGGGGGATGTGTTGAAGTATATACAAACTATAAATATCAAGTTCAATATTTCGTAAAATGAAAATGCACAATAATATTAATTAGCATAATCTAGTGGACGGAATAAGTATGGTCAAAGTATACAGATAAATAATAACAAAGTAAAACATAAACACATCACTACATTACAAGCTAGCCGGTTCTGAAATATAAATTAATACCGGAACTTCCGGCTAATTTATTTTATGTCCTCCACTTCCGGTCTAGACTGGCTATCCTAGGTCTCAATTGACTTGAGCAAGTCTACCTGCTGTCATATTAGACTTACTCAATTATATAGACAAGAAAATTGAAAACCTGAGAGTAAGTCTACATGTAGTCATCTGTACACGTATACAATCTGATAACAGAATGGTTACAAGCATCACAAACACATTTCCGGGAGTTGGTATGGAAAAAAGAGAAAGAAAAATATTTGACAATAGTTTCGGAAAAGAAACGTGAAAAAGCTCTATGTATAATTTCACTGTCGCTCTAAAACTGTATTTATAGTTAAGTTATAACCATGTTAGATAACGAATTAAAGATCGAGTTCGGAGTGACAGTCGTGTTGGAATACAATTTATAAATAAGTTAATCAGTTTAATCAAGCATCATTGTTCGAACTCTGTGTGAATAACATGAAAGGTACATATGCATTGATGAAATAATAAGGTTATTAGCATGTGTTAAATAAACAGGGGACATAACTCAGGCATATAATGTATGGTGTATTTACTTATCGATCACTACGCCGTACAAGCATAGACACTTGTATATAACATACACATTAACTGTTGTTGAAAACATTCAGATGATCCAACTTTTGGCTAACTTTGTTCTGCAGTGATCCTTCTGTTTGTACATACAGCCTTATGATATCACAATACACCATTATAAAACCGTATTTACATACTAATAATGATAAAGGGTTCTATCTGATGAATTTATATTTATCATGTCCAGCTTTCTCTTGCTCCTAATTTCTTCATATCAAAACAAAAAAGGAAGTACCAGAGAAAGTTTGACGTGGTTTCCACCATAATGCAATCATTTTTGTTTTATATATGCTGATGGCAAGTATGAATTAATAAACATTCAATGATACAAAACACAATAACATGATACAGACGACTGGCAACTGATATCCCTATACTGTAACCAGATATATTGCTAATGAAACTCTAACTTCCGTTAGAGGTGATTTTTCTGAAATCTTAGATTTGCTCTTCTGTTATTAACATAAATTTCAGTCCCTACTAGTGAATCCTTTAATGGAACTTTACTTCCGTTAGACATGACATTTCTTAAATATTGTATTATTAACTTAAATTCCAGTCATTAATTTTTACAAATTATCCTTCTTCATTTAAACATGAATTTAATCGCGTAGTTAATGACTTCTACATAGCCGAACAGTTTTTATTTTATTTCCTAATAGCAAAATTATTAGCATTGTTTGAAAAAAATAACGGTGTTAACAAACTATTTTGGAGATATCGATGGCGCAAACATATAATGAGGCAACTGAATTCATTTCTTTTTTCGAGAAATTGATGTCAAGTATAAATTGCATCCCAGTATATATAGATATATAAATTGTTGTTCTACTGAAAATATCTTTATGATCCCAACTAAACATCCGGGTAACACATCCGAGTTATACATCTAGGTAATACGTCTGGACTATACGTAATCCCGACGGTATAGCTTGTTTATTTTAAAACTGCACAATATCGCTCCAGGAAAAGGGGCATAACCCGTACAGTCTTGTCCTCCTTTGCAGAATCAAGTCCGAGTGACAGCGGAACTGTTTCGGACTGTGAAGGACACGAGTTAGGAGTAACTGAACACCTTGACCATACCGTCTCCCTGGACGATGATCATTCTGCTACTGCTGCTGAGTCTTAACGCCACTGGACGCTCCAGGCCAGTCTCTTCTCCTAGCACGTGACGCTGGAATTCACCCTCGTTGGTCAGAAGTTGGACTCGGTTGTTTCCGTAGTCCGCTATAAACAAGTTTCCAAGTTTATCAAAGCAGACTCCCTGTGGTCGTTTAACAGTATTTTCTCCGTTTGGTGTGTATTGATAGAGTGGCTTACCGTCATGTGTGAAACACAAAACGTTGTTTCCCTGGACATCGGAAACCACGATAGATTTATCAGGAGATGACGAAATGTACCGAGGTTCCACGAACGACAGTAATCCATCCGGTTTATTTTGGAATGTTCGTAGAATTGTACCGTCCATTTGTATTTTGTCCACGCACTGTTCCTTCAGTGACGTCACCAAAAGTAAAGCCTCTCTATCGGAGTAGGAAATACCGTCATACTGTTTCTCTGTTTTGGCGCGCTTAATAAGCTGCATGGTTTTCTTTGTTGTCAGGTAAATAATCAGCTTCCCGACCATTGTTATGGCAACGTAGTCGTTCTGTCCGCACGTGGTTATGTCCCTTGGTTCATCCTCTAATTGCACGTAGTCGACCAGGTCGCCAAACTACAACAAACAAAGATAGCAGGCGTGTTATTCCGGGGGAAAAAATGCGTTAAAGTTTCTCATTAATATAATGACCTTTGAATATGAACATCTTGATGTTTCAGAATTCTTTATAAGAAGCTAATTTTTGAATTCTATAATTGAATAATAATGGTCAAACACATGACACGAAGCACTAAAAAGATGACACAAATGTTTAGATATTCATCTCTGGAAAAAAAACTCTCTGATATATTTCTATAACGAATGCTTAAGGAGGCAGTACCCAAATCGGATCATTACCCAAATCGGATCACTTTTTGCAAAATACTTATACAAAACAACTGAGTCAACAAATCAGTTATGACAATAATGTAGTCTTAGAATAGATAGCCATGCACCATTTTTTGTCTACAGATGATTAGTTTTTAAGTCCAAATAGCACAAGAAAACGTAATTCAAACTCAAATGTCAGTGTTTTGATCACGTTTTAAAACAATGGCGCGTACGACGACTATGCATTCTGTTTTGGACTATAGGAATAAATTCACACTATAGAAATAGTTTTTGTCATACAAATTCTAAAGGTCATCATAAAATGTTAATATGCTGACAAAAAAATATTCATTTGAAGCGTAAAATAATGCAAAATTCAACCCTTGATCCGATTTGGATCCTGACATTCGCAAAAACCGGAGGCGCTGATTGGTGACTTCAAGCGTTCTATAAATATCTCAAGTGTGCCCCGGGTGCTTACTCATTTCTTTTGTAAGAACACCCATCGATATTCTTCGTTTGATACAACCATAAATGAATATAATTCCTACTCAGATTTTTCAATGATTTAATAAAATGATGGTTTGGTGATCCGATTTGGGAACTGTCACAATGTAGATGCTATGGAAAATCACATGTAAAAAATCTCCTAAACGATTTAGGTCTTACCAGTATTTCATATCACCAACACCGATATAATACGTTAGTTTATCTCAGTTTTGACAATCAGTTCATCTATTTAGAGATTCAAAATTTAGGCAGAGGACGAGCAGCAAAATTTATTTTCATGAAGCCTGTCATCTTAAAGATGTAAGGCGAAGTAACTAATTAACCGCGAGACGAAAACTAGTAACATATATATAGATGAATAAGAGAGGATAACATGTTACCTTGCTGAACTTCTGAATCCTCTTGTTTTTACAGTCAGTCACGATGATGTCCTCAGTAGACGTGCACGTGACTCCCCATGACGACAGACCCTCGGTGCTACCGCCCTCATCTAGAGTTACCTCCCCTACTTTTTCAAATTCCTTCACGAACTTCTCCATTGTTTCATTGACTTCGAAGTCTAATTTAACAGCGGACTCCCTAGAGTCAATACTTTCGAGATCACCCTGACACGAATCGAACTGCTTCCGGATTTGATTGTAGGCAAGTAACACTTCTACGTCGCTTCCGTAACGTGTCAGCATTTTCATCCTTTCATTTGCAGAACGGATAGCTTTGACACCCATTTTCTTGGGTTCAATTTTTTCTCGCAGTGTGCCCCGCGCCAGTTCCGCTTTACTATCTAATGCCTTCAGCAACTTTACCTGTTCCTGCCTAACCTTTTCACAAAGTTCATTGCAGATCGCCATGATCTTGCTCCGGGACGCCTCAATACTTTCCTCTAGAATGCCGTCCATGGCCCCCAGACCGTTTGCGTTCTCCAATGACGCCTGCATGTTCTGCAGTTTAACGATGACGTCATTCACGTCTGTGCTCGACGACATTGCGTCATTTACCGTGACAACGTTTTCACAGCGCCGATGAGACACGGCCATACATTGGACACAGAGGGGGTCCCGACAGTCCACACAGTACAGCGTGATTATCTCATTATGTTTCATACAGGGAACCTTATTGTTTTTCTTCATTATCGTCTCTAAAGGCATTTTGCGCATGTCTTCGACAGCAATAACCACGTGACCGGAAGTGAATTTTCCATGCGTATGAACTTTTAAACACGAGTCGCACAAAGCGTCATGACAGTCCATACACCAGTTTCCGGCTGTTACATTCTCCTCCCTTCTTTCACAATTGTCACACAGTTTCCCCTCCTTCATAGCGTTAATTAGTTCCACCAGTTTCTCCATAAATCTGTCCTCGTTAAAGGCATTAGCATATTTCCCTGGGAGGGCGTCTGATGGCATGTCGACTTCAGCCTCACACGTCGGACAGGGGAAGTAGCGCTGACCATTCTGGACCAGCGACTTCCCGATATGATCCTCCAAACAGGTCTTACAAAAGCTGTGCAAACATGTCAACACTTTGGGAGATCTGAAAGTCTCGTTACACAAACTACACAGCGAGATTTCCCGCGAGATATCGATGTTGTCAGATGCGGCCGCCATGGTTGTTTGACTTCTTTGATTGAGAAAGGTTTCGTCAGAAGGAGTTCATCTCATCCAGTCGTTGTAACACCTATAGAATAAATGAATACATTTTGAGTTTAGATATTTATAGTTGATTCAAAAATCAAGTTACAAGGGTAATTATTAAAGTCTCCACTGGCCCGTACCACTGCCAAAAACTGTAAATACTCATTGGAAACTGTTATTTCCATCGTGGCTATAGCTTTGTTAAATCATTTCTGAAAGTAAAAGAAAACCTTGCGGGACTTTTATGGGGAAAAAAAGATAATAATAAAGATGAAATATGCAAAATATAACTAACAACAGTGTACTGAATGCAGTAATTGAGCCGGGCCGGATCAGGATTCGAACCCTGGTCTAGGTTGTTATGTAGTCGCTTTTACCAACTGAGCTACCTGGCCAATGGAAGTTTCTGGCTCAATTGCACTGCAGTTGTATCCGAAACGAAATTAAGAGGACATGACTGTATATAGAAAACAAACATAGCAGCTGTCTATGTATAGTAGAAAAGGAACCCTGTAAGCACACTGATAGGTGTACCAAACCTTAAACACTTCTACCTATAATTGACATTCAACTTATAGATACTGACTAATGGCATATTAACATGTACAAGTCAGATCGTGTATTGATATACAAGTATTCAATATATTTACTCAAATAAAACGAAAATTATGATATTAAACAATCGTATATACAAACACAAAAACATGTAACGGGCCGTGTTTAAAGTATTTTTTTTCAAAGTTACACATGTAACACGAAATTTGTGTTTTTTTTATAAGATAAACATACTAAGCAAGCAAATAAGTACTACCTATATATATCTATCAATGTATAAGATCATTTATGTTTTTGGGCGACATGTCTGTGTAAATACTGTCATTATAGACGAGTAAGTTAATAAGTAATGCTGATAGAACAGGTCATATACGGGTAGGTGTTGACACGTACCAGAATACCTGGCTGGGAGGCTTATAGGTCACCCAGCTTATAATGTCAAGAATGTTGTATTTAACACTCAAAACACTTCCCATACAAATTAGCAGACTGAAATCCTTAAAACTTCGGCGATAAACGTATGTCAATATTTGGTCATTTACATACATGTTTGGCTATAAACGATCAACTTCCTGTTGTAAGTGATTTAAAGAGATTAGCCGACAAGTAGAACTAGGATTAAAAACAATATTTGATAAATTTAACCCGGTCCATTTATTTAAAAACATAAAAAGATTTTTTTTTAAATATTGGTGACCTATGAATGTGTACAAAAATTTAGTCGATTTAAAACACATGAAATCTTTTTAACATTTATATAGACTTGCACAAGTCCCATTATTTCGTAATGATAACTGGTGAAGAATACATTTTCATAGATATTGTTACAAAAGGACAAGCTTTCATCTTGTTGACATCTGAGGGTTTAAGTTGTTTACACACAGGTTAGGTCGTTTACACACAGGTTAAGT